GACTGTGTACCAATATGGCGGTGTTAAGGTATTCTTTTGACTAGAGACGTGCATGTTTGCTAACTTTTCCCTCAGTTGCCCATTAACTGTTTATAGCCAATCTCTTTTGCAGGTTGCATAGTTAAAAACCCGTTTTTTCATAGCTCCTGAGTAACGTTTTTTTTTGTTCTCAGGATGGTAGTTTAAGATAACATGTGTTAGATTTAATGCATTATTTTCCTGTGCTATTTGCATAGAACTACTGTGTATAGTGTGTAGAGGAATCATACCTACGGTGTGTGTAGTAGAAACCGTCTGGACAGTGATGGTGCCCAAACTAGCGGATTGTTACCATGCCCCCAAACACCGCTCCACACTGGAGTCACCAATCACCAATATCTTGTGTCATTTATTCTCTCTATTTTTTCCTCAATTCGGTGGAGAAAGGCTGCTCAAAATAGAGTAACTAAGAGGGGGAGGGGGAGCGAGGGGTGGGCTAAATTGAGGGTGAACGAATATATTATTACGAATCTTTTCGTGAGATTTCAAGCCGTTTTTCTTCATTTTGTCGTTTGTAATTATTATAAATAATTGATGGGTTGGAAATTTTTGACGTAATGGTGATGGTGTTTTATGATTTCTAAATTGCTTAACTGTTACTTTAGAGGTTAGGAATGTTCTCCGCGAGGTGTCTTTCCATTTTCTGTGTACATAAACTGAGAATATAGTTTAGTCATGGACTATATTCAGGAGTAAAGTCCAGATATACTTGCTGGCGGGTCAGTAAGCTGTTGTGGTCCCAGCGGTTGATGGACTTAAGTCTAACGTTAAATCTAAAGCCAACCTTAAAATGTGATGAATGACTTAACACGAGGACTATGTTTGCCAGTGAGCCGTCATCACTTGCTGTGAACATCGCCGGTACATAGAGTATATATATATATATATATATATATATATATATATATATATATATATATATATATATATATATATATATATATATATAATATATCCTCCTGTATACTGTAGGAAAGTAGAGACAGTTCACCCTCCTTTAACCCCCCCTCAAGACAGAGCAGACAGCCCGAGGTCGTTCCACAAGGTGCCTCAACAGCCTTGTGACACGACTGTTGGGAGAAGAACTGATGAACTTCAGAAATGATAGAATCTGACTACCAAATTTTAGGGTCATTGGAGTCTTGTATGTTTGCTATGGTATCTTGCTAAGTTCAAGGGGGGGGGGGTGTAATGGTTGATGCGTGTAACCACTGACATCCCAAATGATGTCAAGGGTTTCTGCTGCGACCCATTATACGTATATACATATATTGCCGTCAGACTCTATCAGCTTCCGCTTCTCCCCTCCTCCCTGAATTCTTAGAGTATGAATGTGTAGTCTTCCTGTGGTGGTACATTGTCTAGTCCACCCTCGTGTGTCAGTGTATTGCTGCCCCTTGTGGTAAACAAGCAGTGTAGCTCTCTCCCCACCATCACTACTTGGCCTAACCTCCTTCGTCACTCCTTAACCCATGCTGTCTTCAGGTCGAAAACGGAAATTAGGCTTTCGGAAAAAGTCTAGAAGCCAAATAACGGTGCACCGGAGCGAGGAGATCCTTCCGACGGGGTCGCGGCACCTGATGCGGCAGAGCTCGAGCCAGAGTAGTGAAGAAGCCGACGGGGAAGACAGGTGTGGACCTGGCTACCCCTCCTGCCGGTGGGGTGCCGGCTCCAGCGGCCAATAGTGCAGCATAGTGGCTGGCCAACCGTATTCCGGCTATAGAGCTCCCTCTCCATTCCTCAATCTCTTCTTTTACTTTCCCTCTCACTTTCACCTGAGTATACCCTCCCTTCCTCCCGACCCCCTCAACGTTTGACATATCTTTTGTTTTTGTTTATAATAAGTGTCTTAAACCCTAACTGTCTTTGCTGGCCTTGTGACTTAGCTCTGAAGTGAGGATGCACGGTGCTTGGCATTCTGGCAAAGATTCCGTTGATTAAGGCTGCCAATCTTGCGACGGGTTCTCAACCTGGATGCATTTTCTTATGGAACTCTACTAATATTTACCTGAATCTTTGCTCGAGTGCAATAGACGTACAGCTTGAAAGATTGGCTTGCAGAGTAGAGCATTTCAAGAATGGGAGTTGTAAGTAGTGTGTCGGGCAACCTAACACATTAAGTTACTATGCAGGGTGAATACGTAGTACTACAGACTTGCAATAACGCTGATAAGGTAGTTTTTAGAAGAGCATGATTTGCATTCTATTGAAGTTTTCTCCTAAAGATTTGACCTGATTTGTGGGAATGATAAATATTTTTATTCTAGGCCCCAGGACAGTGATGTCTCTTCTCCTGTCTGAATTTAAACCAGAGAATTTTGACATTTTTTGTACACTAGTTAGAAGTTTTGTCTAGATTTGCCTTGCTATTCCTCGTTCTCGCAGCCTCCATGACTGGGCCAGGGGCACGAGTGGGCCTGTGCCCTCGGTCACAGCTCTTAGGCGGCCTTTTTGTTAGTAGTGTGGGCCAGCGCTGTAGTGTTGACAGTATCACGTTTTTGCCTCCTCCGCAGAGGGCGGTAGAAAGCGTAGTACTAGCGGAGTGCAGCGGTCTCAGGAGGTGGTCCCCACTCCTAGCCAGTCTCGCTTGGTTAAACAACCTTCTAAGGAGTCCACCGACGATAGCATGAATAGCATCAGTTCTGAGGGCTCCTCGTAAGTATCTGACCAGCGACTCCTGTTAAAACGAGACTCCGAGAGAGGTTCCTGCTGCCTTGCCTTCCCTTTGCGTGTTGCGGGGGGATGTCCCGATCACCACCGCCTCACCACCCACCACCTCCTCCTCCAGCTCACTCACCAGTAGTCAAGTCTTGGCCTAATGTATATAATTTTTTTCTTGTATCCCCCCCCGCCGCCCCCTCACCATTCTCGAGTTCCAGACAGCTTCAAAACACATGATATTTTTGGTTTCCTCCCTTTGTACTGAAGGAGTTTGTTTCAATTGGTGTGTGTGAACACGTATTCAGAGGGAGGCTCAAGAGAGATGGCGAACAGCAGGAAACCTGGCGAGGGGTATCTCTCTCTCTCTCACCCTTCCCCCCCTCTCTCAAACACACACAGACACACACACACATTGTCCTAGTCAAACTTCCACGACATCAAACACATCCTTGACCAAAACAATCACGGGGCCTTGACCACAACAAACACAGCCTTGACCACAACAAACACAGCCTTGACCACGACAAGCACAGCAGTAACCGCAACAAACATAGCAGTGGCCGCAGCAAACACACCAGTTTCCAAAATCAACACAGCAATGACTTCAACAAACACAGCAGTGGACACAACAGTAGCCCCAACAAACACAGCAGTGACCACAACAAACACAGCAGTGAAACAAACGCAACACAGCAGGGACCTTAACAAATACACAAGCCTCCACAACACACAAAGTAGTTAACCAAAACAAGTACAGTATTAACACTGACAACATCAAAATCTAATATTCAGCAACAGCAAAAATTTAATTATCTTTAAAATAGTTCACAATATATAACCACAGTGTATCCTGTGTTACCATAACGCAACCCAATATTACCTCCAATACAACCCATTATTAACCAACGCAATCTAGTAAACAGAATATTGGTCACAGCAAATCTCAATATTTACCACAAGACGCATCATTACTCACAACAATAATCCCTAAAATTAATGACAACGAAATCAGAAATTTACCACCACAAACACTACAATTAACCACCACAAACAGTAGAATTAACCACCACAAACACTTGAATTAACCACCACAAACACTTGAATTAACCACCACAAACACTTGAATTAACCACCACAAAAACAAAAATTGCCACATAAACCCCAAAATAGACCATAACATATTAGTATTCAGAGAACTATACCACAATGTTGACTATAAAAAAAGGCTTTGGTGACAACACTTGCATCTTTAAGTTACTGACCACATTATCAACAACAATGACCCCCAAAATATTGACCATGTTCCTCTTAGGCCAGAGTTACTTAATTAACACTTTCTCTACTCTCTCTTGTTTTATTTTATTAGTTTTTTAATATTCTATCGACTAAATACATATTTTTTTTTACCTCTTGACTGCAGGAATGATCTACACACACTCTATATATATATATATATATATATATATATATATATATATATATATATATATATATATATATATATATATATATATAAAATATATATTTTTTGAGTACATAGAACGCATTCCCTAGCTAAATAGTCTCCGAGTAGTATTACTAGTTCTAGTAGTAGTAATGGGCACTGCCATATACACTCACAGTTTGTCTTCCCCTGCATATATATATATATATATATATATATATATATATATATATATATATATATATATATATATATATATATATATATATATATATATAATATAATATATATATATATACATATATATATAAATAATATATATATATATATATAATATAATATATATATATATATATATATATATATATATATATATAATATAATATATATATATATATATATATAAACACATAAGTATCCAGAAAGAAAACGAAAAACCAGGGCACTTTTGGTGTAATTTACACACTCTCCAGGAGTACACTGTTGACGGATAATTCATATATTCATATAGGAAGATATATATATATGTATATATGTACATGTTGTCCCTAATATCCAGATTCAACAACATTCATACTTGCCCTACTATTCAAAGGCCAATGTACGTAATAGGCGAGTTTTTCCGGTAGTTATATAGTTTTCTAAATATTTTCTTATATAAACCTTTATATTATATAATATATGCCCTGCTATTTTAATTTTAATTAAAACTAACGTAGAAGTATAACCAAAACTAACCTTACCAGTCCTAACACAGCTAAGCACATGTTATATTAAATTAAATCATGCACATAATATAATATAAATATTAATTCATATAAAGCAATTGGATTTTGTTTTTAAATGACAAAAATCACTCTGCCTATTAGCCAATCAGGCATTGTGTACTAGGCCAAGTAGTGCATTCTGGCTGTAAAGGTATATATATATAGGTATATATATATATATATATATATATATATATATATATATATATATATATATATATATATATATATATATATATATATCAATCACAAAGAAATCACAATGGTGTGATATATCAAAGTCAACATAATTTTGAAGTCATGAGAAGAATTGATTGAACCGGTGTTGTGTTGAATCTCAGACACCTGCCTTAAAGCACTCGTCCACGAGTGGGTTAAGGAAAAACAAGGAAAAAAAGCCCTTGTATTATCTGTCTGTAGTATAATCCATGAAAATGTGTAACTATATGAAAGTGCTCAAATTATTTTATTATCTTCTGGATACAAATATGTATCTAAATCACGAGTTTTGTGGTTTTGTATATATATATATATATATATATATATATATATATATATATATATATATATATATATATATATATATATATATATATATATATCGTACCTAGTAGCCAGAACTCACTTCTCAGCCTACTATGCGAGGCCCGATTTGCCTAATAAGCCAAGTTTTACTGAATTAATATATTTTCTCTAATTTTTTTCTTATGAAATGATAAAGCTACCCATTTCATTATGTATGAGGTCAATTTTTTTTTTATTGGAGTTAAAATTAACGTAGATATATGACCGAACCTAACCAACCCTACCTAACCTAACCTAACCTATCTTTATAGGTTAGGTTAGGTTAGGTAGCCGAAAACGTTAGGTTAGGTTAGGTAGGTTAGGTTGTCGAAAAAACATTAATTCATGAAAACTAGGTTTATTAGGCAAATCGGGCCATGCATAGTAGGCTGAGAAGTGAGTTCTGGCTACTAGGTACGACATATATATATATATATATATATATATATATATATATATATATATATATATATATATATATATATATATATATATATATATATATATATATATATATATAATAAGGTGTGTGTTGTGTATATATAATATATTTATTTAAAAAGGATTTCTCAGATTATTCTTCTGTATCGTTTTGCTGTGATGAGCTCGATAACCAGTCCTTGTCCTTGGTATTATTGTCAGTGGAAACAAACAAGGAAATGCCTGTGTCATAATGCATGCTTTGCGTCATGGGGTTAAGCACACTGTTCTGATGTTTGTCCTCGAGTAATGAAAATGTTCACCCTGATACTAACATGGCAGGTGTGGTCTTAATCGTTATTGGCAGTCTCGAACTGGAAGTGTAGTATTGACTTAATGCATGAGGACAGAGGACCCGAGTCGAGCCCTTCCACCAGCAGTGATGTGCATCCCTGTCGGTATTCCATAGGAAGCAGTGTAGTAGTTGTTAGTGGTGGTGATAGAAAGCAGTGAAAGCACTGCCGTAGCTTGCAGTCTCTCTTACCAAGTGTCTAGTGGTTACCGTGGTGTGCTCTGGCTTCCAGCCTCCTCCTCCTCCTTCTCCCCAATCACCTCCGTATTATCTATCTTTTTCTCAGCATGGACCAAAATGCGCTTAATAGAGGCTTCGTAGCACCACCCTTTCCCCCACCACCCACCCCTCTCTATATCCCCCTCGCTCCCTCACAGTGTGATGATCAATGGGTTCGTGGTGCAACGTTCTCTCAGTGTTCAGCTTGTATATAGGCTCCCTCCCTATTGGCTTCTCACCCGTGTGTGTTGCTGTGGCACCATGTTCCACCCACCTGTATTTGCTAACACCAAGCTTACTCCTGTAGTTTAGGGTCTGGTTTGTCGCCCTTCCAAGATCATCTGTTAAAACCATTGGTATCACATATATAAATATTTGTATAATGTATAAAACTCAAAGTCTGAATAATATCCGTTTAAAAAGTTGTGGTATAATAATGATTATACAGTTTTTGCATAATGTAATCCTCTGAGGTAGAGAGAGATGTGTTGGTGTGCCTGACCTAATCTTCCGGTCCTCAGCCGCGTGCCGTCCATGCGCCTGGGCACTGACGGCCAACTGAGTGAATTCATTGAGGGTCTTGGCCCCGGGCAGCTGGTGGGGCGACAGGTGTTGGCGGCGCCGGCGCTCGGGGACATCCAGTTATCCATGTGCGAGCGCAAGAACAAGCTGGAGGTGGAGGTGATCCGGGCGCGGGGACTCCAGTGCAAGACGGGCTCCCGCGTCTTACCCGGTCAGTACCTTTGGTGTTGTTGCTCTGGCTGCCTACCCCAGTGCCACCTCTTGACACCCATCATCATCAATACGACCCCTATCCACTCCCAGTTGTAACCATCATCATTGCTGTCACCGTCATAGCGTTTCAACTTCTTTTATACACTCTACAGCACCAGCAGCCTCCTTCAGTAGTGTCTGTCTTAGCAACTTCAGGTATCAATCCTGCACGGCACCTTCTTCACCGTCAGTAGCAGCATTTCCTCGGCAGTACCCGGTAACCATCTTCCTCCACCAGTGAAATCGTATTTGTTCATCACCATTAATGGTGACGGTTTTGTATGATTCTCTCTAGAATAGAGGAAAGCTTCGGTTGACCAAACCACACAATAGAAAGTGAAGGGACGACGACGTTTCGGACCTTCCTGGACAATTCTCAAGTCGACAATCGACTTGTGAATGGTCCAGAACGGACCGGTTTGGTCAACATATTTCAGCCACGTTATCGTGACTCCTCGTCTGCATATGGAAAGCTTCGGATCTTCCTTCATGTTAATGATTCTAATGCATTTAGGGGTACGACGACGCACCCCTCATGCTTCATCCGCTATAATATGTTACTCAAGATAGAGGTGGGTAAATCAATTAAGTACAAGTCAGGGGTAATTGTCGAGGGGTTTACAAATATTTTGCAAAATAATCGAGCATATTAATCATGTATACGAAGAACCTTACCACTGATAGGAAAATATGATTTGGTTTCACTACTGATAGAAAATTCTCCATTGTTCCCAAGATACCATTTTACTAATTATTTATGTAAATATTGCCAGTTATTCACCATTTCTTAGATAATTTTGTTCCTACATTTGTCTCTATATTGTCATGTCATATATTATCAAACATGTCAAATTGACATGTTTGAAAATGGTCAATAATTTTGTTGAAAGTTTGAGCCTTGTCTCGTTTTAATAAATCCATCACCATATTCCAGTCAGACTCTTCTGATGACACTTTTCGAAGTGAAAATATTTTATTTTTAATGTATTCACATGTGGATCTATATCTAATTGTTTATGGTTGGACTAGAGTTAGACTTGTAGGGAGAGTTCAGAGGCCCAAGGGGCTCTAACGTATCGGAGTGTGAGGTAGAGACTGTCTGTGTGCCCGAGTGTGAGGTAGTGACTGTTCGTGTGTCCACAGCTCCGTATGTGAAGGTGTACCTGGTGGCGGGCAAGAAGTGTGTAGCCAAGGCCAAGACCGCCACGGCCCGGCGGACGCTCGATCCCCTCTACCAACAACAGCTCATCTTCCACGAGAGGTACCAGGGCTGTGTTCTTCAGGTGAGTGTTCCCTTCTTTGACTCCTTCTCTCTCACGTTTTCTCTGTCTCTTTCTCTCTCTACATCTATAAATCTGCACAATGAAATTAAAATTGCATTTATTATATTAATTACATATTTATTTAGGTCTATTACTACCAATGACAGTTAGATTTAATTAATGGTAGGCATATTTAAGTTAGGTCAGATTGATTAGTTAGTTTGGGTTAAAACTTAAAATAATCTATATTATACATATTAAACTGAATCTATATATCAAGTAACATTTTGACAATACCTTTTTTAGATAATGTTGCTTCTTTGACAAAATTGGCACGATAAATGCTGTACAATATATTTATAAAATAATTTATGTATTATTAATAACATGTTTAACATGTATATTTATGAGTCAACTGAAAACATTAATGATTATTGGTGAACAAAATTTAATATTTAAATTTTCCAATGTCCTCTTAGGTATATTTTAGTCCCAGTAATCATATCTAATAAAATTTTTAGCTTCATTCATTTTAAACATCTCTCAGTAAGAGAATATATTTGTGAGTTTGTTCCACCAAGCACTGATAACGTAGTATTGCATGGAGTCAGCAGTAAGCAGCAATATAGCATTAGTTGATAGCATTCTAGGGGATAAAAGATATTTGTTGGGAAGAGACTTAAAACTTAAGTCTTCAGTCATCTCCTTTGTTCAGAGACTTAAGGTTTCCCTGCTGCAGGTGACGGTATGGGGCGACTACGGCAGGATGGAGGGTCGGAAGGTGTTCATGGGGCTGGCTCAGATTATGCTCGATGACCTCGACCTCTCCAATATAGTCATCGGCTGGTACAAGCTCTTCGGGACATCGTCTCTCGTGTCCCTGCCCACCCTCACCCGACGCGGCTCCATGGCCAGTCTCGACAGCTTTGGTTAGAGGTGAAGCGAGGGTATACCCGACCCCTCTGCACTCTCCCTCTAGGAAGACCTGCACCACGCCCACTCTCACCATGGGATCAAGCACTTCCGTGCCCGCCTCACGCCCACTTCCTCCCCCACCCACCGTCAGCTAGTGCAGAACATTCAACGACACTTGCAACCTGCAATGTTGCTATCAAGCAGAGTGTGAGGCTTTTCATTGGGTGCTCTCTTTTGTCTCTGTTTCCAGACTGGATCTGACACTAACTGCTTGTGTTGCAAATTTGCAGTATTGCATTATGATAAGGGGCTCAAAGACATCATCGACTTGCCTAAGTGGAGACGATGGTAGTCGTCTTGACGCGGTACTTGGGGTTGCTTGAGTATCCCGCAAGTCCTCTTCCTCTGCAGGTGAAGGAACGTGTGCAGGACTGGCGGTGGCCCAGGCGGGCACACGGGTAACCCACAGGCCACCGGGGCCACGACACCAGCAGCAGCAGCCCCCCCCGTTACCCCAGCGTGTGGCAGGAGGTCTGGCTCGCAACACTGCCCCCGGCACCCCAGCCTGCAGCAGGCTGCCGGGGGAGGCCCACACCACCGCCCCGGCCTGCACACATCACTCATCAGTGCCCTTCACACTTCCGGACTTCCCGTTAACGTGGACTCTCGTCACTTGATTGCCTTGAGAGCAGTTTTTTACATGCCACAATATGAGTACATATAACACTTCTCCGGCTTGCCCTGTCTAGCTTTAGTAGGCAGGAGGGGCCGCGTCACAATGCTTGTGATTTTGACTAAGTGCTTTAAATAATATTACAGAATAGTTTTAATCATGTGTGGAAGTTTGCTCCATAGATTACCTACCCCCCTTTCTAGTTTCCAATACTAAGATGGCCTCTTGTAGTCCAACACTGTGCCCCATGCCCCCCCTCCCTCCCTCCCTCCCTCCCCCTTCATCCCTCCCTCATTCACTCACTCCCTTCACAGCCCTCCACCACAGCCCTCCACCACATCTTAAAATCCCCCTCCCTCCCCCCTATCCATTTTCTACTTTTTGCTTAATTATTGTCTACTCCCTATCTTCCCATTGATAGTCACTAACCAAGTGCTCTCTCTCTCTCTTTCTCTATCCTTCCATTCTCTCTCTCTCTCTCTCTCTCTCTCTCTCTCTCTCTCTCTCTCTCTCTCTTCCTCCATTCTCGTAGCCTGTACATCAATATGTCAATGAACTATAATACACTAGACGCTGTCTCCACATAGCACAGACTCCACTGTGGTCTCTTTCTTCCTGTGGACTCTCAGTATTGTCTCTTGGTCATCAATACAATTTTCTCTCTTCCCTTTCTTGGTGTTTCCTTATCCTCAACTTTTCTCTAACCACTCCTTTTTGGAATCCATGAGACATGCTAATTATAATATTTTGTTTATTGTTTTCTTTTTCTTTCATTATTCAAAAGTTATATATATATATATATATATATATATATATATATATATATATATATATATATATATATATATATATATATATATGTATGTATATATATATTTTTTTTTGTCATACTGCTCGTTATATAAATCTCTAGTTCAGGCCTTTGACAGTTCAAATGTACCTACTTCTCGTCGATATATGATACAGTTGTATCTCTTCTGCTGACATTACTGGTTATTTAATTAATCAATTGTCGCTTCCAGCTCGTTCATTTTCTCCCCTGCCTGTTTCCTGCCATGTCTGAACCTTCACCTGTAACCTGCCATGCCTGAACCTTCACCTGTAACCTGCTATGTCTGGACCTTCAGATGCCATTGACCTTGTGGGTACACATTATCCGTGATGTTCGCCGTCATTCACATCCCATATTCCTCTTGCCACAGCATCCAGATTCCCATGACACTGTCTCCAAAGTTCCTCTACCTCTTTGTAATCCTGCTGGAAGGAGTTAGATAAACTAGATTATAACAAATGGCTATTTGTGGCTTTAGAAATGGGCTGTTCCCTTTCTCTTGTCTGCCTCTATATCTATGTCTATCTGTCTCTGTCTCTCTCTCACACTCTCTCTCTCTTTCTCATTTCGCCACCTTACTATTTACATACCCCCTCCTCAGACTTGTATTAATTCTAGCTCTATTAACTCCTCTCTTGCTATATAGTAGTATTAGCTCTCTCAGTGGACTGATGTACCGGGACCTGAGCCCCATGATTTCTTCAGCTCACTCTCGAGTATTAATTCCTCTCTCTGTACATTGTACCGCAAACAACACGAAGAAGATAATCAGAAATCAAAATTCCCCCCCTGCTGTTCCTCCTCCTGCTGTTCCTGCTCCTGCTGTTCCTGCTCCTGCTGTTCCTGCTCCTGCTGTTTCTCTACCTGGTCCTGTGGTTCCTTCTCCACCTCCATGTCCTCCTGCTGCAGCCGTGTGCATGTAGCGGAGATTTTGCCTGGGTGATTCAGAGGTCAAGGTCCCAGAGATGTGATATATACTTGATTAGTGTGTGTGGTGGTGAGGGTGTGTGTGTGTGTGGAGGCTAGACGAGAGGTGGGTAGTGCCTGGCTAGTGTGCCGCCTCCACTGGCACTCCCTCCCCCTCCTCTCACTCTCACACTTTCACTCACTCATGGAGAAATATAACGTGTCATTTATGATTATTATCGAGTTCCTTTTCTATTTACAAGTGTCGAATCTTTGTCAGAGTTGCATTTGTCGTGAGAGATTAACAAATTGATGTGGGTGCTTAACATATGCTGCAGATGTATAGTTTATATTATAAAAGATTGTTGAACTAGAGGCTAGCCAGGAGCTAGTGAGAGTATAGTCAGAAAAATGTGAAATGAATTCTATGTGGTTGATGTAATTTTAATATCATCGTATTCTTCCTCCCTCTGCCTCCCTTTAAGTCTGAAGTTCTTGAGCATTTCTATCCTTTCCCTTTCTTTATCAGCTCTCTGTCGCCACCATCACCATATCCATCACTAGAACAATCACCATCATCATGGCAACCACCACCTTCACCACTATCATAACCACAACTACCATCATCACCACAAGCACCATCATAACCACAACCACTGGCCACCATGACCACAACCATTTCTGCAACCACCACCACCATCACCATCTCACCATACCCACATCACTATAGAAGCATTGTCATCACCACAGCCACCATTATCACCACAACCACCATCACCACCACAACCACCATCACCACCACAATCACCATCATCACCGGCACCTAATCTTCGGTCCATCAAGTGCCTGTGGCTACTTTAGAACAGAAGACAACATTCTTAGAGTTATGTTTCACTTTAACAAACAGGTGCACACACACACACACACACACACACACACACACACACACACACACACACACACACACACACACACACACACACCGGACTAGTACCCGAGCTGAGGGGTATGAACTACGAGGAGAGACTACGGGAACTAAACCTTACGTCGCTGGAAAACAGAAGAATTAGGGAAGACATGATCACCACATTCAATATTCACAGAGGAATTAATAGAATAGATAAAGACAGTTAATTTAAAACAAAGGGAACACGCACAAGGGCACACAACCGGAAACTGAGTACCCAAATGAGCCATAGAGACATTAGAAACAAATTTTTTATAGTCACGAGTAGTTATCAAATGGAATGCATTAGGAAGTGATGTGGTGGAGGCAAACCCCATACGCAGTTTCAAATGTAGATATGATAGAGCTCAATAGGCTCAGTGATCTTTACACCGGTTGATAGACAGTTGAGAAGCGGGACCAAAGAGCCGAAGCTCAACCCCTGCAAGCACAACTAGGTGAGTACACACACAAGGATAGTTCCCCCCCCTCGCCCAACAAGCCAATTCCTTCTTTCCTCTTCCACAATTTGTCTCCGTTTACGGTTGGAGTCCGAGAAGATCTTTCCGGATATAACGGGTGGAGGGAGCAACTTGTTGTGGGCTGCGTATTGTCGTATTGTCAGAGAACATGGGGTAGGGGGTGGGGGAGAGTGAGGGGGCTTGGAGGGGGGGGGCAGACAAACCCAGTCCCCCCTCTCTGTGGTCTCTTCAGAGCAATGGCTATCTGCATTCTTACTCGTGTTTTAACGGTCCTTGAAATGTAGTTGTTCAAGAGGCCAGATTCATGAAGCAGTTACATCAAGTAGTTACGAACGTGTACATCTTTCCTCAATCTTTGACGGCTTTGGTTACATTTATTAAACAGTTTACAAGCATGAAAACTTGCCAATCAACTGTTGTTATTGTTATAAACAGCCTCCTGGTGCTTCGAAACTCATTAACTGTTTAATAATTGTAAACAAAGCCGCCAAAGATTGAGAAAAGATGGACAGGTTCGCAAGTGTTTGAGTAACTGCTTCGTGAATCTATTTAGGTGTATGGCTGTCAGGAGAGGGTGGGCGTCCAGGTACGTGACTATCAGGAAAATGTGGGAGCCAGACGAGACTGAGTGTCTACAGGTATGTTCCACTATCACCTTGTGTTGACACTTTTGTTCCTTGGCGTCAGCAGGCGGTGAGTTGAAGATCTAGCCTCAGTGACATTTGCCAGATCCAGTTAACTGTTGGCCAGTTTATTTTGGGTTCACTGTAGCCTTTGGGGGTCTCGATCTCATTATAAAAATTGACGTTTTGGAAGCTGAAGTTCTATTACGGTGGTTTCTCAAAGTTTCTTGTATGGCTGTGGTATATTTTTATTTATATTTTTTCAGGAATAGTAAATTTTGTCTGACATACGCGTACACATTCGTGCAAATATGCATATTATATATACATTATATATATATATATATATATATATATATATATATATATATATATATATATATATATATATATATATACATTATATATATATATAATGTATGTATACATGTATATATGGATATAAGTTATGACCATAAAATAACGTTTTGTTTATTTTTGTGTATATTTAGTGCCCCTTGGCGGTGGTCGGGGCGTGTAATGTTTACAACTGTGTCTGGTAGGATTCCTGGCTGTCTCCAGAACAAGTGAACGTCAGGAGACGCAGCTGTGCATTAAAGCATAAGAGGCGCGTGTCCTCTGCAAACACCAATATTGAGTTGTGTTCCCATCATTCAGTATCGTGTTGACAGCTTCTCCTCCAAAAAATGGCAAGACCTATCGCGGCTATAGTCAGAATGATCAGGACAAGGACCCAGTGGCCTTAATGTCCAAGAGGAACGTTGATTGAACGTTGAACGTTTATTGAACGTTAACGTTTCACCTGGATGTTGTGCCCACTGGCTTGCTGAGCTCCGAAAATATGCAACAGCCGAAGCTAACCTTTCCTTCGCCTAATAAAGTACATGTATATGTGTTAAATTAAGCCCAAGATTGTGCATATTTGACATGAATTGCTTGTTGAGGCTCCATGAACAGGTTAGGGTTAGCTTGAGGGTTAAAGGCTGTTGCTGTTTTTATTATTTTCTTTAGTATTTAGTTGTTTTTTTTCTCGCGCATATTCATGTTTTGTGAGTTTCATCCATAGCAGCCATTGGGACGCTCAGTTTTGGAGCATGATGAATTGTGTTTTGATGAGTTGGTGGGCACACTGTCCTCCCCCCACTCATATGCCCCCCCGCCCCCTGCCCCCCCCCCCCCCTCCCCCCAAACCACCCTTCTCGGCGCGGAAAGTTTGAATCATCACTGCTTAACGATTTCAATCTTCGCAGACGAGGAGTCACAATAACGTGGCTGAAATATGTTGACTAAACCACACACTAGAAATTAAAGAGACGACGACGTTTCGGTCCGCCCTGGACCATTCTCAAGTCGATTTTCGGACCGAAACGTCGTCGTCTGTTATCTTTCTAGTGTGTGGTTTGGTCAACAGATTTCAGTCTTGTACTTGACCTTAAATTTTAAGTCACTGAGGCCAAAGGCTTGACACGTGAGTCCCGGAGTGAGGGAACAAAATAACACCACCGTTGCAGTTCATCGTCTTACGTTTGAAACGTTTATATAACTCCTTCGAACATGACGCTGAACTTCTTACCCAAAAAAAAACAACAAACTTTTCTCTGCACGTAAAACAATAAATAAACATTCTTAGCAATTTCGAAGTGTTGCAGGTGTCTTATTTTCTTTACAGATTCTTGAAGAATGTGTTTTTTCCTAGTTTAGCTAACTAAGTTACGTTAACTTTTGGCAAAATAATTTTTTTTTAGTATATTCCAATTATTTGCCTTAATCCTCCTTCTCCTCCCCTCCCCCCCCTCCCCCCCTCCCTGCATGACCCCACAGGTGAGCAGTGCACTCGATTCCAGGCTTTAAGCATGGCGTATTTTAAAGCCAATTTTGCATG